TGGGGTTGCTGCTTGGGCACAGATGCTGGTATAGGAGCTGTGCGTTTCGGCGCCGGAGGCGGCTTAGGTGTCGGGGGTTCACTCTTGGCCTTCGAAGTTAGTGGGGGTGGGGGCTTTCTAGCCCCCTTCATGTAGAGCTTGCTGGAATCCTCCAGCATCTTGCGAGTTGCCTCGCGTGTGCGTTCATCTACTGTCTGAATACGCTCCTCATCTTCCGCCACACGTTGAGCCTTTGTCTCGTCCTTGATGATCGGCTCTGGTTGTTGGGACTGGCTAGATACGCCAGGCGAGTTTCCTCGCATACCAGGAAGACTAAAGAGCGCGTCTTTCTCTTCCTGGTCATGGCTACCATTCCCCTTGGAGCCGGAGTAGGTTTCTCTTCTTCTTTCGGATCCAAGTGGCCCAAGATCCCGAGACGACTACTCACTGCTGCGATCTCTTCCGGTGTCATCGGGTCAAGTGGCGGATGGCCCTCCTTAGAAGGGGTTTTGCCCCTGTTGGGGCTCAGGCCTGCGTTGTTTCCAACGGGGCATCCTGGCCTGTGATTCTGGAACGGCTGGGAACAAGGACCACATGCAGCGTGAGGCCTATACTGCTTGCGAGCCGCGATAATATCTCGCAACTGGGTCCGCGCTTCTTGAATTTCAGGGCGGCGGATGTTTGTTGCAAGCTGATAGCCTCCACGGATGGGTCTGCCATCGCCGTCCCTATAGGCAGGATTGCCCTGGCCGAAGGCCGAGTGCTCCCCTTTTCGGCGTCGTGGGTCGTTGTGTGGAAGTAGCTGGCCACCTCTTCTGGCAGCGTGTTCCTTTGGGCCAGCCTGTCTCCAATCACGAGGGAGTCGAGCCTGGGGATGTGGCTCTCCTCTGACGCGCGTATGGGAACGAGATCTTCTGGTGTTCTCATCAGAAGAGGCTGCTGATGCAGCAGGAGCGGCACCCGTTGGAGGTGCTTGAGGAGGCTCCTCTGCGATCCCGGGTGGATCGCTCGATGGAGGCAGGTCTCCCTGCTGGGTGGAGCTCGGCGCAAGTGGCTCTTGTGCCGATGGTGATGATGGTTCAGACTCATCAGGGTCGAAATCGACCTCTTCCTCACCAGTCACGTCCATCATGAGGATGGTGACGTCATCCTCATCTAACCCACAACCATCGCCTTCTACTTCTTCTGATGTCGAACTACCAATTATGATGGCCATTGGCGCATCTGGTAAAGGCAGGTTTCCCTGCATGGCCGGCGTCTGGGCGTCGCTCGGCTGTCCTGGAGTAGGAGGCGCAGTCGTCGGCTCAGGGTCATCGACGAGCATAGGCTGCCTAGCAATGTTACGCATGGCCGTATGGTTTGGCCTCATCCCCAGCTCCTGGAGATTCCATCCTGGCGGGGGAAGATCATGACCACGCATAGCCATTGCCATTTCCAGGGCACGACGCCATCTACCATGGGAGTATACCAAGTGTCGTTGCACTTCCTGAGGATTTATACTGTCAATGAGAGTCAAAGCTGCCAAGAGTAGCTCTGAGCTACCGCAAGCATCATTATCATTATCTGTCATAATACCAGCTTCAATTTGTTCTTGACTCTCAGGATATGCAATTGCGAGTATCTCATGCATCCACATGAGGGTCTGCAAAAGTGTACGCGGTCCATATTCGCCTGGAGCAAGCGAACCAGGAGGTATGAACGGAGAACCTGGTTCACCTGCAATGAAGGCCTGAACAAATGCTTGAGACTCCATTTCAATTAAGTCTTCAATAGTATGGGGATATTCTCCCAGCAGAAAAGGCCTGTGTCCAGGCGGGATTTCGGGCGGAGGTTCGAGGTTCTGTTGAACCTCGGAAGGCGAAGCCTCTATAGTGGTGTCCTCGCCGTCGCTCTCGTAGGCCATGATGTTGCCTGGGTTCCCGAACATCCAGTCGAAGAAGGAAAGAGGCTCGTTTCCGAGCGTACCGTGTTCCACGGGAGTGAGTTCATTACTGCCCGTGACGAACCGGCGGACGTACTCGAGGTAATACGCGTATAATCCATGACCATACCCCTCGAGCTCGTCAATGTTGTCCATGCCAACGACCCATGTGAAAAATATCTGTTCCATAGCCTCAAAGTCCTGGAGGCTCAGATACTCAATGGATGGTGTGCTTGAGCCGAAATGGACTTCGGACGACATGCCCTTTCCATTTCCCTTCGCTGGACAATCTCGCACAAGATGATCGGAACTACCACACTCATGACATTTGAGAACCTGGCCGTCTCTACCTCGCGGGTTTCCCCGCCTACCTTTACCTTTACCTGAGGTCTCTCTACGGCCTTTACCGCGGCCTTTTCCCCCAAAGAATATCTCATCATGTTGTTCATCTGAGAGCCTCTGGAGAAATGCCGCGATACCTCGCCCGTTCAACCTCCGACGACCACGCTTGCCTTTACCCTTTCCTTTAAAACTTCTGCGTATCCTCCTTCTAACACGACGCACTGGTTTTCGTGTGAACCTCCTCCACCTTCGTTTAGCCTGTTGTAACAGCCAGAATAAATGCTCAGCACGCTGATTGTCGTTATCCATATTCATGATATCTGACCAATCTAGAGCTTCAACACCATCTGATGATATAGTGTCTGTATCGGTGCCGGAGTCGAAATCTTCGTCTCCTAAATAGGTGGATACACCGTCGGTTAGGGGATTTGATTCCCCCCATAACGAGCGGTGTGGTTGTGGTTCTCTAGAAGGAGGGCTGGTTGCCCAGCTTGGTTGTGATCGATCCCCTGCTAGTAAAGCAGTGGATTCTCCTGGGTCATCGGCCCGTATGTTTGAGGGCCCGTTTCCAGGCTGGGCTTCAGTAGTCAAGGTAGTGTAGAAATTTCCACTACCAGATCCCCTTCCTCTTCCAAACACGGATCCTATGTTGCCAGGAGATCGTTCGGATAGGTGGCCTACCGAACGCATCCTTTCCAGCAACTCATCATATTGTTGTTGTGTTCGAGGCATTTGGTGGTTGAGTGGCTGTAAGAGTTGCATGGCTTTCTGGTTGCCGACGCCTAAGGCGCGGAATAGGATAGTGGTTAGCAGTTGGAAGTTAGGAAGGTCGAATCCCACCGACTGTGCCTCAAGTCGGGCCATTTCGAATCGGGTAAGAGTGACATCGATTCGTTCCCCGTGAGGCACATGGAAGTCGATGAGTTGTGTGCCGGAAGTGAGCTGTCGCTCATCTTCCAGGCGTTCGAAACTTCATGCTGAGGAGGAACATGATGTAAGTTACTGGGTCCGTGTGGACCCCATCAATGTCAGCACCATAGTTTATAATGTCAGGCGGTACCCTCATGGCGAGTGTCCTCGCTAGGCCTCCCAGGCCGCGTTGTATTGCGGCCGCTTGGGCCTGTGGCGTCATACGTCCGCTTGTAACGTTGAGCCACGCGTTGACCTCGTAAATGTACTCACGAAAAGGTACATTACCCTGAGGGTCCCAATATGGGCCATGTGTTTGCCCATCGGTGCTGTTATCTCCCCGACGCATGTGTGCGATTGCTGCCCCCAGCGCGAACCATATGATAGCGAAAACGATTAGCCCAAGAATGTGTAACGAAGAATGGTTATGATGAGCGGTGTCGCGCTGGGGTAGCGCCTTGTCGAGTCTTCGAGGCGCTCTGTCTGGCGGGTTTCCCCGCCCTTGCTTCAGGTATTGCGTTATTGGCTCGTTGCCGAGCGGTTGATAGTAACGCAATGATGAAGCGTATATGGTACCAATCTGGTCGTCTAGACGTCGTACCTCTCGTGTAGCTTCTTGCTCTTGAATAGATCCTCGTAAATGTACTGGGAGTGGTGGCGCAGGGTAGTAGGTGGTCACGAAGATCGTGCCGAAGAATGTGAGGCTGAGAAGAGCAAGAGCTGACCACACGAGAGTGCGGCCAGCTCCGCTACCAAGTCGAAAGTGAGCTTGGTAACTCAGATAGGGCATATAGCCTGTCATATAGCATCCGATTCCAAGGCGCTGACCGTGGACATCGGATGGCAAATAGCGTCCATCGCTCTGCTGTAGCTGTGAAGGCACAGTATGAGGGGTGGGCGGATAAGATAGGATAAGATCGATGTAATGATCTTTCCAGCACATAGCGAACACTCGCGGTGTCCGGGCAAATAGGGCGCGCGTGCATTAAGCCCAAGGCAGCGGCGCGCGAGCTATGCTCCCGATACTGTAACATTTCCCAAAGAGCTACCCTTAAAGTCCCACTCCGTCGGCCTCGCTCGTGGCGTCGTCGCAGTTGTGCGAGTCGTCAGGCGGCGCTCCTAAGGTCTCGGTCATGCCGTCGGCGGCGACGCCGCCGCGGCCGACGAGCAGGATGGCAAACGCTGCTGCAAACACCGCGACGTTCATGTCGGTAACGGTGAGGCAACAGGGGCTCGTCGGCAACAGGCGCAAAACCCCGCGCTCCAACTGCCCGAAGACTTGCCACACTGTCTTGGGTAAGACTCGAGACAGAATGGCTTGAGCCAAACTGGCTACGGAAGCCGTGGGCCCCTTCTTGGGGCGCGCCCTGGCCAAGACATACTTCGAGGCGGGTCGGGCCGTGGCGCCGAGGGGCGGGCAGCGGTCTCGGCAGCCCTCCCTGCTCCGACCGCCTGCCAGACAACCCCAGGACAACCCGAAGACCCGAACTTCGGGTGGGGGGGGGGTGCGGGTTCCTCGGCGTGTTTCCTCAGTGTTCCCCGACACCTCCGCCACTGGAAGTGGAAGGCAGAGTCAGGCCTTCGGGTTGGGTGGGGGTGGTTCGGTGGGTGTGAAGGGGCCCTGGGACACACAAGTAGATACACACAAATAAAAGGATTCCCTATAGTTTCCTACATTTTCTGGGTTTCTGTCTTCCCTCCCCACTTCCCGTATTTTCCCATCTTTTCTGGGGAATCGACGATGAATTGTGTCTGTGTGCTTTTTCCCTCCTGAGGGTGGTGAGTCTCCGAGAGGTGCTCCGCAGTCCCTGGCCAGCTGGAGTGGCCGGCCGTGGCCCCCTTGCCGCGCCTCCGGCAGGGGCGGGGACACGCAGTAGCCGACCACCTGGCGGCGGCCGGGTCTGCAAGGCGGGGAATCGTCCACCTCCTCCGCCTGGGGAGCCGATGCCCCGGAAGCCGATGGGGAAAGCGGGTACTCGGCACGCCTGGAGTCACCACGACGCCCAGATGCAGATGTTGTCCCAAACCGGCAGCGGCCGCTGTTTGGCAGGGGGCCCCGAGTCTCAAACGGACAACGCCCGCGGCGATGCCGACAGCGAGGCCTGATGAAAATGGGCAGGAGCTGTTGTCGATCTTCGTCTCCATTCTGTCCGCACCCATGTCCATCGCACCGACATGTGGATATAAATGATCCCCAAAGAGGCCGAATGTATCCGTATCCAGCGCCTGCAGAGATCCTCGTAGATCGATCCTCCAGGCAATGGCGGGTGGACTATCTTTCTCGCTGCGAAATCGCCCGAAGGTTCGACCGCTCTGCCAGTATCGAACTGCGCATCACGGAATCGATGCACAGAACCCCTCTGTGCACAACCCGGGTCAAGAAGAGGAGGAGGAGGAGGAGGAGGAGGAGCGGAAGGAAGAGAAAGAGAACGCGCAACAGCTTCGTCACTGATGTTTGCCCAACCCGAAAGAAGGAGGGTAACGATACGAGCTTGGCACTTGGAGCCCGCACAGCTCAAAAAGCAGGAGGAGGACGAGAAGAGACGAGAAAGAGCAGGCGGCCCACGCTGAAGGGTCCCTGGGACACACAAATAAATACACACAAATAAACATATTCCCCATATATTTTTATATATTTTCTGGGTTTTTGTCTTCCCCCCCACTCCCCATATTTTCCAATATTTTCTGGGAAATCGACGATTAATTGTGTCTGTGTGATTTTTCCTCCTCACACGCGAGTGAGCGCGACGGGAGTGGCTCGTGGACAACTCCCCGCCTGCGGAGGGCCGGCGTGCCGATCGAGCGAGCCGACGGACCAAAAGCGCAGCAGCCAGGCGCCCCGACGGCGCGGTGGCCGCCACGGACAGGATGCCCGCCCGTGGCGCCCGCGGAGAGCCCGGGCGCCACGGACTCGGACTCGAACTCGGGCCTGCGAGGTGCACGCCCTGCGGGGGCGCTGCAGGCGGGCGCCGTGGCGCCACGATGTGAAAAAAGTGCGCGGCGGCAGTCTCTCTGCGCGGTGCAGCCGGGGAGGGATTAGAGACGCACGAAGGGAGAGAGGCACGCACGACGAGCGAGGACGACTGGGCGCCGCGGGTTTTCTCAACGAGCGGTCCCCGAGGGAGCCTCGGCGGCGCGCGGGGCGGGGCCGCGGGCGGGCGGGCTCGGCGGGCGGGCGGCGGGCTTCCGAGTGCCAGCGCCTGCGGGGGGGGTGGCTGTCCTGTGGGGCCTGGCCCGGGCGCCGCGCGCCTCTGCGGGCAGGACGCCATCCCCAGCTGGGGCGTTGCTCAACCGGGCGGCGACACATTACAGGGGGTGGGGGGGGACGTGCACCATTCGTGGCCCTTTTGGGCCCCGGAAGGCCCCGTGGGGGCCCTGTTGGGTCACGGGGAGTGCACCTTCCATCGCCCTCCCCATGCATCGCCCCCCCCCCCCCCCATGACGCCACGACCAGCTACCGCCGGACCCGGCCCCGCGGGGGCCCATCCTCAAAAACACGCGGAGTGGGTTCAGTGAGGGTTCTTTGGAAGGGTCCCCTCCCCCAACGCGTGGCGCAGCGGAGCCACCTCCGCTGCCGCCGGGGGTAAATCCTCGACCTCCCAACGGATGGCGAGCTCCGAAGCGCCCGGTCGGCCTCGCCGACGTGGGCGGGAGGGCGCACGCAAGGCTGTGCAGCGCTTCGGGGTAAGGAGGAGGAGGAGGAGCACTGAAGCTACGAGCGCCTGGATCGCTCAGCAGCCTGCGCAAGAAAAAGGAGGAGGAGGAGCAGGAGGAGGGGGACCCCACCTTACTAAAAGCGCGACGAGGGTCATGTGATTTGTTGGTTCGGACCTCCTGCCCCCCCTCCTCCCACGCTGTTGGTCGGCGGCGGCTTGTATCCAAGAATCGGTCGGACAACACTGGGGCGCAGTGGCAGACTACGCAATAGGGGTGCAGGAGGCGAGCGCACCAGGAGGCGAGCGCACCCTGCTCTCACACAACAGCGGCAAATATGACCTTCCCTGCGGCCCTGAGACCCTCCGGGGGGAGGGGGCACATGCAGCCGCCCAAGAGCGCCTTTCTGACACCTCCAGAACGGCCCCGACGGCCCCAAGACGTTCCGAAAAGGGAAGAAGAGAATGTGGACACAACTGTCTTCGCCTGCCTCCCACGGCTTCAAGTCGGCCCCAACAATGACACGTGAACGGACGTCGGTTCTTCCTTCAAGGTCACGCCTGTCCCGACGCGCGTAGTGCCGTGCAACGCTGTGGATAACATCGTGACGAGCGCGCAACGGAACTTGCAGAGGAAACGCGGACTTGCTTTGCAGAAGACAGTACGCAATTGTCACGATTCCATACCACATTGTG